GCATGAGAAAGATTGAGAACCACTGCTCTAGATAAAGGAATTATTTTGGAATTATCACCTCATCATCCTGTTTGGACTCTAGACGGTATACAGTTCCTCAAATTATAAATTAATGCCAAGAATTATATAAGCAACACTCAATTTTATATTTGAAATATATATTAAATCCATAGACATTAAGACTAGCATGGCCTGTAGATTAAATATAATGAATAAAGCCTGCAGATTAGTATCGTAAATTTGATCATTGCACTATTTATATTAGTGCATTATTTAAAGGTGTCATTCTTTTCAAGACATATATATATTGAAGTACTAGGAATAAAGAGGCAACTTAAACTTACTTTTAAGTGTTCTAAAAATAAGCATGCATATACAGAGAACAAGAGACAAAAACACATATACACACGTGTGTGAACTGCATGCCTGTGTGTTCATACACATATACACATGTGTGTGAAGTGTATGCCTAGGTTTGTGTTATACACATATACACACACGTCTGTGTGAACTGTATGCCTGACTGTGTGTTCATACACATATACACACGTGTGTGTGAACTGCATGCCTGTGTGTTCATATACATATATACACACGTGTGAACTATATGCCTGGGTGTGTGTTATACACATATACACACATGTCTATGTGAACTGCATGCCTGTGTGTTCATATACATATACACACACGTCTGTGTGAACTGTATGCCTGTGTGTTCATACACATATACACACACGTGTGTGAACTGTATGCCTGGGTGTGTGTTATACACATATAACACACACGTCTGTGTGAACTGTATGCCTGTGTGTTCATACACATATGCACACACGTGTGTGAACTGTATGCCTGTGTGTTCATACACATATACACACATGTGTGTGAACTGTATGCCTGACTCTGTGTTCATACACATATATACACACGTGTGTGAACTGTATGCCTGGGTGTGTGTTATACACATATACACAGGTCTGTGTGAACTGTAAGCCTGACTCTGTGTTCATACACATATACACACACGTGTGTGAACTGTATGCCTGACTGTGTGTTCATACACATATACACACATGTGTGAAAACTGTATGCCTGACTGTGTGTTCATACACATATACATAGGTCTGTGTGAACTGGATGCCTGACTCTGTGTTCATACAAATATACACACACATGTGTGAACTGTATGCCTGGGTGTGTGACACATATACACACACGTGTGTGAACTGTATGCCTGGGTGTGTGTTATACACATATACACACATGTCTGTGTGAACTGTATGCCTGACTCTGTGTTCATACACATATACACACGTGTGTGAACTGTATGCCTGGGTGTGTGTTATACACATATACACACA